CCGGAGGGACCCCAGCCTCTTGCACACGGAGACCGTCACCTACAGCCTTTCCCAGACCAGCAGCTCTCACACAAACCCCGCAGCTGATAAATCAGCCTCAAAATGCGCCAGCGGCAGCAGGCCCTGAACAAACCCAGGGGCAGGGAGAGGTGGGACCGCGTGCCTCACCTTCCTCTTCAGAACCAGCCTCAAAATGAGCCGTTTTCCCCAGAAACTCCCCCAAAAATCCCTCCTGAACCGTGAAGCACTGTCAGAACCAGGCTCCTGGGGCTTGGCTCAGCCGGTCGGTGCTGCTGCAGCATCCCAGCTGCTCCGGAAGGCTGCTGGCAAAAGCAGAGGAGAGAAAAGTGGGCATTTCCGAGGTGAAAATCCAACAAAAAAGAGATGCTGAGTCCTTCCAGGTCACGGAGGAGAGGGAGAGGCGCCCGCCCTCGTGTCCCCTCGGCCACGTGCTGAGCGGGGACACCAGCATCCTCCAGCGCCGGCAGGTTCTCAGCGGGAATACGCAGGAGTTGGACTGTTTGGTTACTTTATTCTGATTTTTTTTTTTTTTAATTAATGGCTCTGTGTAAACCTTGGTGAACCGTCAAGCGCGTTCCGCTGCCGCACCAAGGGAACGGATCCCCCGCTGCCACACTACACCACGCACAAACTCCTGGCTTTAAACCCCCGCAGGTGGCAATGTCACCCGTGTCCCCGAGCAGGGTGGGCAGCCTCAGGAGGCCGGACCCTCCTTGCGCTCAGCTGGAGCCAAACATCCTTCTTGGAACACAGTCCCGGGGGATGAACCGAGGGATAAAAGGCGCGAGCCCTCCCCGCACGTCTGTCCAGCGCCACCATCACCTCCGGCCGTCCCCCAGTTTATATATTCCGAGCAAAATCCCCACGAGAGCCATCGAGGAGGGTCCGAGCAAGGCCGGGGGAGGACGGCGCTGCCTCACAGCCCCCTGCACAGTTCGGGTCTGCCCTGCTCCTGCTCCTTCACCCGCGGCACCCGCAGCCGGGGCTCAGTAAATCTTCTGCCGGCTGGGCAGGATGGCCTCCTTGATGAAGGAGAAGATGAGGAGGATTCCGGAGCGCTTGCCTCTCTTCCCTTTGGTGAAGTAGTTGGAAACCACATCGTCTGCAGGGGAGAAGGGAAGAACAATCAAACACAAACCCGCTGGCAGCCACAGGATGGATCGTCTGATTTCAGGGTGACGGAGGAGCGCCTTTAAAGGTGCTGGTTTGCTCCCATCTGGCCCAACTGGGCGTCCTGGTGAGCCCCTGATGGGGAGCCCAGATCCTGAGCAACCTTTCCGGAGCTGTAGGGGGTCCAGGGAAAGCGCCAGAGCCCCAGGACTGGAGAGGTGCAGGGTGTAAAGCGCTCCTGAAAACCCCAGCCCTTTCCTGCCGCAGGTTTTGGGAGGATTTCCCCACCCAGCCGTTCCCTGTGCAGTGGGAAAGGGGGGTGCTCAGCACAACCCCCCGTTAAAAACCAGCGGGTGCGGGAGCGCTCACCTCCGGGCTGCACCGTGGAAGGCAGGACGTTCTCTCCAGCTGACAAGGAGACGAAAAAAGCGAAAGGAATTAACCACAGGCAGAAGGTGAAGTAGGCGAGAACCTGCGGGCAGAGCGAGAGAGGCCGTGAGAGCCTGACCCCCCCCAGCTGAACCTCCCCACGATACACCCCGAGTTTCTGCCTGAACCCCTCGAGAGAAAGGGCAACGAAGGGGGAGACCCGCAACCCAACTTCTCCCTGCCCAAGCCTCTCGGGTGCTGAGACAGCGGCGCTGGGGGAAGCTGACAAGGGATAAAATTCACGCGGGAGCTCCCCCGGAGGGACAGGGCGTGCAGGAAAAACCCTCGCCCCTGGCCTGGGCGCCCCAAAACCTCGGCTGCTCCCAGAAACCTGACTGTTCATGAAACAAAGAGGAAACTGGCTGTGCTGTTATCACTAATTATATCCTCCTCACACCTCCCAGGGACGAAGAGTCAAGACCCACGCTTGCTCCTCCGGTGCGATGCTGGGGGGTAGGAATTGGTGCTGGGGAAGCAGCTGCTGCGGTTTGGGGGGGGCTGAGCCCCCACAGCCTCCCTGTGCACACAAATGCTGGAGAAGCGTTAAACTTCTTACAAAGGTGGTTGTTTTTTTCATTTTAGTGGAGGTTTTTCAGTTTGTTTTTAAAATTTGCGCTCAGTGGCAGCTCCTGTGGGCCCCAAACAAGCCCCCCTGCGAATTCGGACCTTTGTCTCGGGAGGTACGAGGGCAGTGAGACAGAACCGCCAGCGCGGCAGAGACACAAAAATAACGAGAAGCAATTATACCGAAAGGGAAGTGACTTGGGGTTAGCTTGTAAAAGAAATTAACAAGAGCATTATTTTTGATTTTTCCCTGTTTTTAGCATTACAGAAAAAAAAAAGAGCCCTGCGTTTAAGATTCTGTATTTCTTCTGCCCTTCAGCTGGCTGAGAAAAGCCCCAGGCCCACACCCGAGATAAGAAACTGCAGCTTCCCTGGTATGGCGGAGGGAAGGAGCACAGGAACCCCCAGGGAAGGGCTGCGAAAAATATCCTCGGCGTGTCTGACTGCTGACCGCAAAAATGGCATTTTCCTCTTCCCCCCTCCCACCGGCAGCTCCGCGCCGGCTGGAAAAACCCGGCTCGGCTCCTTCCCGAGGCCCCTCACCTCAGAGAACAGGTAATACTCCTCGGCAAAGTACTGGAACGCCAGGTAGTGGTTGAATATAACCAGCACTGCCGAAGGAAAGCACAGCAGGGTCAGTCTGCAGCCTGGGAGAGACGCCCTTGGCTCATTCCCCGGCCCCCGAGGGAGGACATCCACCTCCCCGCCGCACGTCCCCTTCCCCGCAGCCCCCCTCCACCCGCAGGCCTGCTGCTGCTGAAATATTTCCACCTATCTAGCGAGAAACGGCGCGAGCAGCCCCAGTTTCCCCCGTCCCAGCTCCGGTTTGTCACTCTGCGCAGCCCGAGTCCCTCGTCACTTTATTCTCCGTGTCCCCGAGGGCACCCTGCAGAGCCCGGCCTGACGCTCGGTGATGCTGGGACACAAAACCCCCCCGTCCCCAGCAGCTGCTGCGGAGAGCGGCTCTTCGACCATCTGTAAAGCAAGTCACGCTGAAACGCGGCCGGGACACCGAGGTCAAGGCTGTTCTCAGCGGCGAAAAACACCACTTGGCTCTCAGGGAGCAGGAATCGGAGCTCGCTCTCTCCTTTTATGCGAGATGCCAAGGCAGAGCCTCAGCAGGGGACAGCCCTGGCCCCAAGCTGCGTCCCGGCTGGCTTTATCGGCCTCTCCTCTGAGGATGTCACCGGAGATCCAGAGGGGAAGGACTACGGGACGAGAGCTTGGCTCTGCCAGCAAACGCAGCTCCCTTCTACACGCCATGGGAGAGCTACGCTCGTCTTCAAGCAGCGGATAAAATCCTGCCTACGTGAATGCCTTGAGCAGCAAAGGTATTTCAGTGGTACACAGCCAGCGCCCTGAAATATGCATGAGGGCTCTGGAAAGTCATCCTGGAAGACATTCAGCCCGTTCGCTACTTAAGGTGTCACTACAGATCACTCAGAGCAGGGACCTGCAGTCAGCTCCATGCACAGGACACGAGAACGTGCAGGAGACCCGGCAGCTTGCGGCGGCAGGAACCCATTTGGCCAAACCCCAGTTTAACCGGCAGAGCCACCGGTCCCCCCGCCCCACAGCCCGAGCTGCTCCTGGCTCCAGCCCACGGCACGGCTCCGGCCGGTCTACAGGCTCAAATGCCCCAGGAAAAGTGCAAACGTGAAGAACAGAAATCCCCGATTCAAGCTCAGCCATGCACTTTTTAAACGGGACTTTCTCCAGTCACCCTGACGGATTTCCACATTAATTAACTGTCTCAAATCTTCACTTTCGGGGAGCACCGGCTCCTTACAGTGACACACACACCGCCCCGTGACACCAGGTTGCAATCCCGCCGCCGGGTTTTTCACTTTGCTCCAAATCCCTCCTGCTCCTCGTCAGGACGCAGCGATCGCCCTGAACAGGAGGATCTGCAGGGAGGACAGCGGGATCTCGCTTCCCCAGCACGGCTGCAGGAGTTTGGGTGTGGGGAGGGAGAAGCAGAGGGTGCCCGCGTGAGCCCGGTGTCCCCAGCTCTGCACCACTCCCAACCGC